AAACCAGAATCGAGGTCACCTCCCTATTCAACAATGGGCAGCCAGACTTGTTCATATATTGTACATTATTCGTGATTCTCCTCCAATCATTTTTCTCTTTGTTTCAGACCTTTCTTCCTTCGTTTATTTTTTATTTTTATTTTATCTATCACAAAAACTGCAAGAGTGCTCCAGAATGGCAGAAGATAGAGTGAAATGGAGAGATGTTGCGATCAACCTCCGAACCGGGAGAAGATACTTAGATAGATGGATAGATCACAAACACATTTCCTCTCTCTCTCTCTCTCTCTCTCTCTCTCTCTCTCTCTCTCTCTCTCACTACTCCGGCCGTCCCACATCTCTTCCTTCCACTGTCTCTTTCTCATAAATACATTATGGGTCGGCTTTGTATTTCTATTCATTACATAAAGCATTGCTTCTTTCTTCTTTTTATGTGTTGTTATATTACATAATCATTCCTAGGTTCAATAGAAGCCTCGGCATTTGTCTACGGAATTTCGGGCGCGGCTGTAATTCCGTTGTTTGTTTCCTTCTCATAGCTCTAATCCGGATCAATGATTATCATTTTGTATAGAGCGAACCGAACTTTAGTCTGGTAGTCTAGGTCTCGAAAAGGAAATTTACATCTTTGTAGGGGAATTCCCGGGAATTATTTTAGTTCACCTTGTTTTGTCCATCGGTTACTGCGTTAGAAAGATGAAAAGGAAGAATGGGAGAGCAGGAAGGGAGCAGGAAGAGAAGAAAAATAGAAGGCCCCTCCTACACCTTGGCATCACTCATCCGCCTTATAGGTCACTCTTAGGCCACCATATATGGTCTCACATTTAATATATATAGTAAGAGCAGTAGCTCCCCCCCCCCCCCCCCCAACCAGCTCTAATATTAACTAACACAATATGAGTAACAAGCACATTAATCCTCCATAACATTGCACTACGTCAATAACAAAGGTCGATAAGTCTTTATATTATCTCACACACCGGGCAAGTATCAGAATCACAGAAACGTAGAGCAGCAGAAGCGAGAGCAAGACGCCCTCACACCCAGCCTGGTGGAAATCTTCGCAATCGATGGATAGCGCCAATAACCCCCCCCCCCCCCCCCCCCCCACACACACACACACCATAATAAGTAATCTAATCACGTCATATTATGGTCACCACATAACTCTATTTTGGCACCCTTCTATCTTTCTGTTTAATTATTTCTCTAAGATTATACAGATTGCTTTAAGAAGGGTAACCACACCTAATAAGCCCAAATAAGTAGGACAGTTATGTCACAGATAATCACATTCCGGTTACTCCGTTTCGGTAGAGTTTCATCATCTAATAAGTACCAGATTATAGAAAGAGCACCTCTTTGTTGTAACCCTTAAAACTAAACGATGCTGAAAATTGTGCATAATTATATGGAAAGCAATTCGGTAACAATTGAATACATGAGAGGACATAGGGCCCAAGTCGATGAACACATTTGTTGGGGTTATTACTAAGGAAAAATACCTTAAAGGGGAAGTCCACCCTGAAATTAAGTTAGTTTTAATAGGAGTAGAAAAATGAGAGAAACAAGTCAGTGAAAGTTTGAGCAAATTCCGATTAAAAATAAGGAAGTTAGGATTTTTGAAGTTGTGATCAATCAAACACAAATTGGCAACTCTATGACGTATCATGCGAGCTCAACTTCCATTTGCTCAGTACTAAAAAAATCTAACATTTTCATTTTCCCTCAAGAAAAATTTCAACCATACATGCACCCTAAATATAATAATTGCAAATATGTTTCTATACTCCCCCTGCAAGGAACAAATATATATTCCGTCATCAATAACGAAGAAAACATGATTTTATGGAATATTATGCACAAAGCAAATGAAGGAGAGCTCGTATAATAAGTCACAGAGTTGCCAATTTGTATTTGATTGATCACAACTTCAATAATTTATAACTTTCTTATTTTCATTCAGAATTTGCTCAAACTTTCACTCACCTGATTTTCTTATTATTCTGCCTCTATCGAAACAAACTTATTTTGGGGGTGGACTTTCCCTTTAATGTTTTGAGAATGTAAATAAAGTTATTTTTCACCTTCACGGAACCCTTGAAACATGTTTATAACTATATTCAATACATTGAAACGAAAATATTAATTATCTTGAAATAAAAACTATTAAACAAAAAAAACTAAAAAAATTGCTGTAATGGACTTGGGACTTCATATACTCCATTGTAGGCCAGTGCCTCATTTCCTTCAATTTTTTTTCAAGACAGATTGTCACATTTCCACCATAAATTTGATCGCAGCTAATCACAAGCAACGATTTCAGTAGCTTGTAACAGATAATGACACTTGTTGTTTAAATACCAAATATAATAAACAGAGACCGTTACAGCACATGTGAATAAAACACTGATTGACTGGTAGGTCATTAGTGCATCCATTTTTAGCCTGTTAATGGGACTTCAGTGATGTATGTGACATTTTTGATAAACATTAATGAAAAACAGAACAGAAACTTCCAACATTTTATTCTTGCACCTTCCTTTTAATAGAGAAATAAATATGACAGGTTTCACATAAAATTCGCATAAAAATACACATAAATTAACATACAGTGTAAATACCAGGAGTCATTTTATGTACATAATTTGTATCCTGGACAACATGAAATTTCCTTGATTCTGGATCTTCTCCTCCTTCTTCATCTATTTCATCTTCTTTTTCTTCTTCTTAATCTATTTCATCTCCTTCTCCTTCTTCTTCTTCTTCTTCTTTTTCTTCTCCTTCTTCTCCTTCTTTTTGATTTTAAATTTTGATGCCTAAATACTAAGGAAATATGGACATCCATCCATATAGTCCTAGATAACTATATTATAGGAATACAAATTCAATGGAAATACGTGTGTAATTATCTGTGAATCGTACAGGTATCACCAGGAGCTCACTAGCAAAATAAAATCACACTTTTACCGGGGATGGAACATAGGTCTAGTCTAAAACACAAAGTTATGACAGATTGGGAAGATTGGGGGAGGGTCTATGCCCCCCCCCCCCCCTATACGGCAGTGATTCTTAGCTGGCCACCGGGGACAGGTAGAAGCAAATAACAGATGAAAAAAATGATAAAAATTAGTCTCTATCTAGTAAAAAATTTCAATAAACACAGTATTCAGTGATTTCATCAAACACAATCCAAACATAAACATGCAATTCAATTATCTTATTCACAATCTATGCAGCTTTGATAAAAAAAAATTAAAAATTCCATCATAATGCCCTTTCTTACAACCACATCACATCTATATCTTAAAATATACGCTTTTACAACAAGGCCTGAGACCCCAAAGAGGTAGGTACTAGTTTGTAAGATTGATTGAAAAATAAAATTGTTTCAATAGATATATATCTATAAACATGGAGTAATATACACCTTTACATTTTATAATAAATTACTTGCAATGTACACTAAATACAAATGATAATACCAATAATAATCCAAATCTGCTAAACAAATATACTCTGCAGATATCAGTTTCTAATGTATACAGACAGGCATTATATTTGATAGAGAGAGAGGGGAGGGGGAAGAGAGGGAGGGAACAGAGAGAGAGAGAGAGAGAGAGAGAGAGAGAGAGAGAGAAAGAGAGAGAGAGAGAGAGAGAAAGAGAGAGAGAGAGAGAGAGAGAGAGAGAGAAAGAGAGAGAGAGAGAGAGAGGTGAATACATACATTCCGTATCAACTACAAATATGGACCAGTATGAAAAGTGACAGGAGTAGGAGTCTCTTAAAACTATTTTAAAAACTACCTTAAAATGATTCAATCCTCTGAATATTGTTTACTTTTCCTTTATACGTTTTTCCCCCAAATCTTGCACAATAATTTCATGCACTGCCTTATTTTCCCCCGATAAACAATAAGATGATGTGAAAAAACACCTAGGTGAAGTAAATATGATTAACCCCGCATTCCAAAGAAGCAACGTATGTGATATGTACTATTTAACAAAAAATATGTAATAACAAAATTTAAACCAAGAAAAAAGATACCGGTACTAAAATGTAAAAAATTCCCTGTGCATAAAAATTGAGTAATGACCACATGTTATCGACCACTGTGGTATATGTATGGCAAAGGGCAACCCAGTGTTAGCAAATAGAGAATGGATAAAACAAATACATGCATTTGCTTATTTTTTTAATATTTCAACTACATAGGCCTATATGAGCACAGAATACTCCCTCATTCTCTCCTACCCCCTCCCCTCCCCCCCCCCCCCTAAAGAAAAAAGAAGAAAAGAATATAAGAGTCAAATTGCAAAGCATATAATACTTGTTGAATCCAATTGTAACCAATCTCTCACAAATTTTGTGGTCATGCTTTATTAGGTAGTAAGAAATTCCCTAATCCTAATGATTGAGTAATGACCACATGCTATATTGACCACTGTGGTATATGTATGCCAAAGGGCAACCCAGTGTTAGCAAATAGAGAATGGATAAAACAAATAAATGTGTTGGCTTTATTTGTTTATATTTCATATTTCAAAGAATAAAAGTCAAATTGCATAGCATAATAATGCTTCTTGAATCCGATTTAGAACTATCTCTGACAAATATCGTGGTCATGTTTTATTTGGTAGTAAGGAAAGTGTTTCCTGCATACCGCCCTCTCTAGGCTTCATTTTGGATAGTAAAATCTGTCAAAAATTGGAAATCACTATAATCAGCATCAAAATAGAATTGAAAAGTTCTGAAACAGTATTCACGATTCAAATTGTAGGTTGATATGTTAGATCTTCTTTGTTGCCAGAAAAAAACATTTAAAAATTAACTGAAAATTAACTTTTGCTACGTACTTGTAAGTTCATAGGAGTCTAAAAATGATGACAACCTGGAACAACTTATAGGCTTGTAAAATTGAACTTTAAAAAAAGAAAATCATATATAAAAAAACTCTTTTCTCAATTCAGGCTCATAATACATGTATATGAATTGCACAATGTTTGTTTGTTTGTTTGTTTGTTTTATTTCTGTTTTCTCATCAAACCCGGAAGAAACAATTCAGGGTCTGTTGTCCTTTGACCAACGGAGCCCCTTTCTTTTTCTTCTTCTCTTTCTTTGGCTTTGGTTCGTCTTTCCTCGCTTTTTTGGCTGGTTGAGATCCTTCCGCAGTCACATCATTCAAGATCAGCCTCTTTTTACTCATCTCTTTATTTTTCTTATTCTTCCTCTTGACATCCTTGATAGCTTGGCTGGCGACTGGCACCTTCTCCTGGTCGTACACAGACTCGACGACGAGGTGTGTCTTGCGTTTGGGCGTGGCGACAATATTGTCGATCAGGTCGGGGGTCAGGCCACTCGGCCGCGTCTTGTGAGCGAGGGATCGATCGTCGGGGGAGTCGGCCCACAGTCCTCTGTTGTGATTGGCTGGGATCTGAGCGACAGGGTCTTGATTGGCTGGTCTTTCAGGGGTGTCAGTAAAAGTCTTGATTTTGACAACAGGCTCCGCCCAAATCATGAATGACTTTGTACCTTGACCTTGAGGGGGCTTTGAGGCACTGTCACTTCCTCCCTTTGATGGGGGAAAGATGAAAAGAAAACAAATTAGGATTTAAGACCGTCAATACTACTGGGCCAGAAGGGATTAGACCACACAGCTAGGTCACTGACAGGTGGCTATCTCATTAACAAGAGGATCATGGGGGACCAACAGGCACCAATAGGAGAAGTTTTCTATATAGAGGGAGCAAGTAGCTACAAGTAGGACAGTGGGGCTTTAAGTAAATTCATGGGAGTTTGTTTTTGCCTCCCCTTGCTAGCAATTAATTGATTGGAATATCTGTTTACACATTAAATCATTCTGTGGCAGATAGCTGCATTACATGTATTGCTTAATTATTCTTCTATAGAGAAGAAACCCAGGTTCCAAAGGGTATTCATTTAAAAAAAAAATAGGACTTAAGGACTCTCTGCACTGACTAGTTTGGCCAGGAGGACTAAAACCTCACTGCAAGGTCACTGACAGGTAGTTATCTCATCAAATCAGCTCTAAATTAACATAAGAAAAGGGGATCATGGGGGACCAACTGGTACTGCTAAGGCATTATTTGCTTTATAGAGGGCACAAGTAGCTACATGTAGTGTAGTCCTGCTTTGATAATTCTTAGATAACAATACCCAGGTTGCAAAGGGTATCATAGAATACATTTGAAAACAAAAATTGGACTTAAAATAACGTAATGTCGAAATTTATTTACCAAGCTCTTTCGAAGTCTGTCCCTGAGGGAGACATTGTCAGGTGACTCAGGATCACCCTCAACATCAGGAGTTCTAGAAAAGAGAAGAAAAAAAGGAAGACACTCTTTGATTAAAGACAAGAATGGCATAATATTACTGCCTAATTTGGCATCTCTTGTGTGTGCAATCAAAGACTGCAATGTTAATTTATCATCATGCAAGACTTTATCAACAATCTGTTCTCAATGATAGATTATCAATAGGCTAACATTTGGGTAAATTGACAAACACGTAATACAAAGTACTGTAACATTTTTGAATATCTTTATATCATGTACATGTACATGTACATATACAACCACTTCAGTACGGTTATTATTATAGAAGGGTGTTTAATATTTATTGATATCTACAAAATTCAAATCATACATATATCTACGTAAGTAGCCATTCTCAAGCAAATGAAATGCCTTGCATATTGCAGGATTGATCAGAGATAGATATCGGTTTGTGCTATTCAAAGGGCCCTAAAATTCCTCAAGAGTCCCAGAAATGTTCAAGCCCCAGAAAATCTGTATAACAAGCAAAAAAGATCTGGAGAAGTCTGAAGCAGAAAAGTGACATACCCTGATTTCTAATGAAAGCCTGAAACTGGCATTCCCAATAAGGTGGATTAAAGCCTGTCTGCACTAGTTTATCCAGGAGGGATTAGACCTCCCAGCTTGGTCACTGACAGGTGATTATCTCATCAAATCAGCTCTCAATTAAAACAAGAAAAAGATGATCATGGGGGACCAACAGGTACCGCTTGGGCATTGTTTGCTCTGTAGAGGGTGCAAGTAGCTACAAGTAGTACAGTCCCGCTTTAAGACAAAGACTGCTATAGGTATAGAATGGCCTTGCTCAAAGGGCACACTCCACTCTGTCATCCTAAACCAGTAACAATCATACCGGTAATATCATTTAACATTGGATGTTTTAATAGCGCTTCTTACCACCACACAAGGTGCTCAAGGAGCTTCAATATTATCCAAGCTCTAGCTAGGCTATCGCCATCCGTGGTCACAGCATTCAAGGAATTCCTGCCTACATGTATCTGTAGTGATCCATACACCCATTTGTTGTGGGTCAACAAACTTTCGGAAATTGCAAGATATCGGCATTTCTTTCTTTCATTTATATCGGCATTTCCTTTTTGTCTTGTAAATTACCTCGCACCTGCGATATGACATTTGTGGTCTCCATGGTTTGTTTTTCTCTAAGCGCCAATCACGGTGTTCCATAGTCTTGTGTTTTTGGCTAAGCAGCGTGATTATTGGCACTCATCCCGTATGTACTCGTCAGAGCTACACGTGTCTACGGTTTTAGTCATTTCCTTACTTCCTACATATCGCGTACGATTTTTGCGACGTTGTATTTTTCTCGGTCTATTTAATCGTCTGCGGTAGTATTTCTTTTCTTCGCTGGATTAAATACGAGTCTTTATTTGTTTAATTCGCCAAGTAGGCTATTCATTCTTTTTCTTCAGTTTACGCTTGGGCTAGCCAGAGGCAGCTATTTTGTATCTGAGCACATCTTATTATTGTATATATATTCCTGATAGTTTCGGTTTTCGTCAAAGCTTCCGATAAGATTGTGTATTGCATTTGCCTTGTTGAATGGACAGAGTGTTTCATCGTTGAGACTACTTAGTGAATTCGTCAAGAAGACACTTCAAGTTTTGGATTATTTCCAGTCCCCTTACTTCCAGTTTTCTTAGTTCCTTATCGGTGAGTTTAAATTTCATTACCACTTTCTTTTCTCACGTCTTTTTAGTTGAACCTGCACTTAGGTTCTACATATCACTTAATCACCTGAGTGGAGAGTGGTATGTGTACATTAACGACTTGCCAAGGATGTTAATGATGTGACAGGGATTTGAACCCTGTACCTTGTGATCCACAGTCTAGTGACTAGTAATCCCCTGGACTACAACAGCTCTATAAATAGTCCAGTTTTAATTGAGAATCATGAGGGGATAGCAACTTTGACCATACCTGAACTGTGAGATGATGCTCGGTAGTTTGACCGGTGTCTTCTGACTGCACACTGTATCGGTCAGTAGCTGTGCCTGGGTAAGCTTGGACATGTACGCTCCGCTCTGTCGGTCAACAAGACTGCGGATGACGTAGTTGGTCTTCTGGCCATAGATGATCCTTCCTTGTCCCACAATCTATGAACAGAAAGTTTGGATGTTAGTGCACTAGAGTATTTGAAGGGGGTAAGGGGGCAATTTGCTACCCCCATCCACAAGTTTTCAACCAGGAAAAAATAATGGTCAATACCTCACCTTTCAATCTATACATAAAAATGATCTAAAGGTAAATAATGATCAAAATAGTTTAATCAATACATTTTGATCTTGCTACAGCCATACAATGAATAGAAATAATTTATAAATTATGAAGAGATGGATTACAGGAACATACATTGCTCCAACACCCCCCCCCCCCCCCCCCCCCAACTGGACACAAATTAGGGACAGTTAAAAGTGTTTTCCCTGTTGGATCACCATTGGCTTGGATGTTATGGCAATTCCATAACATCCAAGTATACACAACTTCTTATGTATTTAATTTAATTAACCTTCATACTGCTGCCAGACAGTTTAATTTACAATTTAAGCACATCATGACCTGTGCTCAACTTTATTTGATACAATGCATGCACATCTATCTCTTCTACAAGCAATCATGCAGGGGCCTGTTTCACAAAACCAACATTAGTCTAAGTTCATGGACATCTAAATGCGATGCATCATATTGAATTAACACTCATTGCAATGGGATACCCATGATCTTAGACCTATACCGGTTTTGAGAAACCGGCTTAAAGGCATCGTTTAACAATATTAAATCTGAGATGCACAACCCTACATGTTATCAGTGTCTGTGATATGGTGTAATATTGAAGCCCTAAAAAATTGCGCTTCAAAATCAAGATCAAGAAGTGCCTCAAAAAAGTAAAAATCATTGAGTAACCGCTTTTACCATACTCCTTTTTCCCAATAGACTGTAGTGTTATGAACCGTTAGTAAAAAGCAAAATTTGATATCGATTTCCAATCATAGATATCTTGATAATCAGACAGGCGATCGGCTTGTAAAAGTCATGGGGTCCCTGACTGACCTAAAGGTATATAATTATAATTGTAGCAGGAGCTACATCAAGGATTTTTTTAAAGGATCTAAGACAAAGTTTCCGGATCCCTTTAAGTATACTTACTTTTTTAGGTGTCTTCTCCTCCTTGTAGTTAGTGATGAGGTATTCAGTCTCCTTTGAGAGATCAGCTACAGCTTTCTCTAAGCTTCCCGGTCTAAGGACATTCTCATCAGACTTCAGTATAGATACCTTGACAATATGAAGAATCTTCTTGATAGCCTCTCTGTAAAGAGAACAAAGGATTTCATTTTCGTCATACACAGGCAATATACAAATGCGTACCCTGGACATTTGAAATATTCTTGCATTCCTCTGGCAAACATCAATCAACATTTGCCACTCCCCACCCAGGTGTTGAGTGGGTACCGGTAGGAAGAAATACCTTGAATTCTACGAGCATTCCATTCTTTAATTTATTTTTTATTTTTCAGACTCTTTAATGACAATATTTGAAAAATTCATAACCTTCCCTATCTTTGCAACATCAAATGGAGGAATTAAATTATGTTACTTTATATACCTCACTTAAGAAATCCAGCCATCTGATTGGTCGAAATTGCAGTCGAGGTTTTAGCCATTCCCGTAAATAAACAAAAAATGTGAAACCCATGTAATAGTTCTAGAGTAAATCAGTAAAATCCTGGCAAAATTCCAGTTACCGGGAAAATAGTTCAGTCTTGCTGAACCTCGGCAAGCCTCAGACGATAGCTCGATTGTATACCTCCCCTTGAGCGTATAAAAACAACTATGTCTCTCAAAGCAGTCATTATTACTGTATTATTATCATATTATGCAAGATATCTTGTTTTCCATGAATTTTTGCAAATTTTTCCTATTTTGTTATAATTTTTCCAAACCTGGAACATGTTTTCACATACTAAATTGAATTGAATTGATTAATTGTCCACTAAAAAATGGAAATTCGTTGCTCCCTGGTATTACAAGCAATGTACATAATTATAAAAAATATAAAACTTAAACATTTTACATAACAACAATGGCGTTACATGAACATCCAACAATACATACATGTAGATCTTTAAAATGAAGACTAAATAGTTGTAGTTTTATGAGAAGCAACAGATATAGTTTAGGTTAACCAGGAGGTGTCAACCTCTCACATGCACAACAGACCATTTCCGTTATTTACGAGTTTTCGTGATTTTCTACGACATGGACCCTGGTTATACTGTCATTTGTACCTTGGATCTTTTGTTTCTTCAGCCAGAGTCTGCATCCTCTGTATGAGGTTAATGAACTCCCCCATTGGCTTGACGTACTGTCCTAGAGGGGAAGAGAGGTCCGGGGCGTAGGTCTTACCACCGAGACGCAGTTTCATGATGAACGATACCATGGTCTGTAAAGGGGAGAATACATGTACAAAAATATGAGGAAAATACCAATAACAGCAAACATGTACTTTGAATGTGATATTATCTTACAAGACTGGAGAGGTGCGGTGCATAGATCTTACCACCTAGACGTAGCTTCATGATGAATGATACCATGGTCTGTAAAGTCAAGAATGTATGTACGAAAAATATGAGGTAAATACCAATAACAGCATGTACCTTAAATGTGATATCATTTTAAAGACGCATAGTAGTGGTGTCTCAAAGAGAATTCAACACCATTCGGGTGTTTACCCAATAACATTCTGTCATTCACCACGATTAGCCTTCAGTTTTATGACCAACAGGCCATATGTAATGCTCTGCATTTTCCATCTATTCCCCTATAGGTTAAAGTCATTATCTTACATTTCCCTCATCCGAAGACTCTCTGAGAGACTAGGGGGTAGTTCTTGATGGGATCACAGGTTTAATGAGTGCGATACTTGTCCAACCATTACTAGTATTTCCACCAAGGCTGGTGTCAGCGAATTATGACCTTTGCACATGGAACTGATGACCATCTCCCTTTAAGAGACTGGAGAGGCCCAGTTGCACAGCTCTTAAAAACCTAGCCGCAGTTTCATGATGAACATTTGTAAGATGTTGTGAACTTTAACCTGTTACATCTACAATCTAATCAGTTCTCCCTTGCATACATGTACTTCCTCCGAATTTGGTTTGAATTGCTTCAGTTGCTTCAATGTTATTGGGATAACAAGATATATTGTGGTATTATTTTAAGTTTGTGACCCTGTGAACCTTGACCTCTGAAATGCCATACACAAACATTTTCTCCGTGCATGCTAATACATTATTCCTCAATGTTTGGTTTGCTTCCATGATTTTCAAGTTATCGCAGTAGCAAGATATTTCATGGTATTTTATCACTTTATGACCCTGTGACCTTTGACCTGAAATCTTACACCCAAAATCTAATCAGCTCATCTTTTCCTGCTCATACATACTCCATTCAGATTTGGTAAAAATTCATTCAATGGTTCTGAAGTTATCATGGTGACAAAACATGGGATGTACGGAAAGGTGGACAGATGGATGGACGGACAGCCCCAAAACATAGTGCCTCCGCCGTGACCTTCCGTTGGTGGAGGCTTGAAGGCATTATTTAATAATGCAAAATCTGAGATGCATGGCTCTACGGGTTATCAGTGTCTGTAATATAGTGTAATATTGAAGCCCTAACAAAATTGCAATTCAAAATGATCATGAAGTGCCTCAAAAAAGTAAAAGCCTTTGAGTGACCAATTTTACCATACTCATTTTACCCAATAGACTGTAGTGTTATAAAAACGGTTTTTGAAATTTTGAATTCCAATCGTAAATATCTTGATAATCAGATAGGGGATCAGCTTGTAAAAGTCAAGGGATTCATTTCTGACCCAAAGGTTTATAATTATGATTGCAGCATGAGATTATTCCAGGATTTTGTTGTAGAATCTGAAGTAAAGATACCCAGTCCCTTAAAAAAAAAAACCAAACATGTAACAGGGTGCACCCCCCCCCCCCCCTTTGTGGTTAAAGATTCTTACCTGATACATGGGCATCTTCTTCTCCTGAGCAGCTTTCCGGAGTGCTGTGAAGCCCTCTATACCTAGGCCTTTATCAGGTAGACTAAGACAATGGGCCAGGGACAACTCATCACGAGTGTTGATCAGGAGGGCTAGGTGAGACATGAACAACTGACGACAGAACGTCTGTTGAGAGAGAACAAAAATGTAAGGAACATTGAAGGGACTTGGTAACATAGTTCAGATGAGAGAAAATGGTGCTAAGGTATTGACTTCAATGCTAGATGTACAATTAAAGAAAATCTGAAAGTTTGAGTGAAACAGACCATTATTAATGATACAAATTGGGGAAAAACTGATCTGATCGATTCCTTCATTCTCCCAACTATATTATTACAATTTGATTACATTTTAGTTGAATGAAAATCGTCACGAGGCAAAGAATTGGCTCCATATACCATTCCAGAGATTAAAGTGTTGAAAGATTTTTTTGAAGCTTATCTTTTTTCTTATTTTCATGAAAAAACGGTTGGGAAGTTCAAAAATGGTTGGGAGAATTTAATGTTAGAGGGTGTCGCACAGTGACGCCTTCAAAGAAAACCATAAATATCTTTGTGGTTTTAGAATTTTTTTCAGGAGTTTTTGCATGTTGGAGGGTGAATGCAGTAGAAGGAATATCATAAGTAACATTTCATACAAAAATTACGGTTTTTTCATCAACCCTCAACAATGTTACTGAGTCACTTTAAGAGTACAATGAAGCCTTCTACACCTAAATCTTCATCAGGTAGGTTTAAATGTATAGTTCTTCTACTAAGGTCAAGTCACTATAACGTGTTAAAATTTTCTTTGTGCGAGGGCGGACACCATACAGTGCTTTTTGTCTGCGATTCCCAAATGATTGTAACATTCAGCCATCTTTCCAGTGAAGATTAACAGACAGTGTCTCAGATTTTCTGTGATGTTTTAACCAATCTTTACTCAATAAAAGGATAAGGTAAGAATTCTTGGTAGATTTTTGTGTTATTTTGGATATAAAAGACATGCTTTAATATTCGAGGCCTGGTTGTTGGCTCTCGGGGACGTGCACATCCTGCCATGACCCCTAGGTGCGCTGCCCACCCAGGCGGTCATGGCAGGATGTGCACGTCCCCTTGAGCCTATAAAACAGCCAGGTCTCTCAAAGCAGTCGATATATCTATAATAGTAACTTTACCTCTGTGGGGCTTCTAGGGCTAGGAGTGGATGCTAACTGAAGGTTGCTTGATGCGAAACCCTGATCCCAGCTCAATCTTTCCGTCGTTACCTCCAACTTCGTCAATTCTCCTCCTTCCTCATCCTCAGTTGAAGTCGATGAAGGGTCAAAGTGCAAAGCTGTGACGGTAGACAGCATCTCATTACGTAACAAACTGCGAAGCATGGCACACTGTATGATGAAAAAGAAATGGGGTTGAAAATAAAGAAAAAAAGAATAAGAATAGACCCAGAGACCATGTAAAAATTATATTGGTCAACTATACCAGCAACCTTCATGCTTCATTCAATGATGAGTTTGTACTGTTTGCAACTTGTTAAGTGCTAAACCAATCATGTCTACATGCTTTCAAAAGGTATATGAAAATAGAGACTGTCTCCATGGGAGAGAGTGTCACATACTGATCTATCCATTGTGGACTAAAAATATATCCTTTACATGAAAAAGTACATAAACATGTATCCTAAAGATTATTCCCCAGCACAATATCTAAAGCCAAATTCAACAATGGTAAAAAAAAAAAAGTCCTAGATTTTACCAGTGAATGTCAAGTGCTTACCAGTAGTTACATACACTGTACAGCAGGGCTCCCCACTAACTATTTTAAAAGGGGGTCCAGATTTAGCTTACCGGAGCTGTATGCATGAACCCTATGTAAAAGCTTTAAAATCTTGGGGCCCGCAATTAGATTTTGGGCTTCCATGTATCCCGGGCACCTGTTAGTGTCAACAGTCAAGCCCTGCCTACAGAGACCAGACTTGGAACTCACCTCAAGGTCACCTTCAGGAGGATGAAGTACAATGTACTTTGTCTTTGTTTCAGCCAATGATACATCAGTCTGCTCTTCCCTCCTCTTTGACTCCGCCTTCCTCACCTCCCTCCACACATCCACCAAGTCTACCATGTTGCATCTCTTGAGCATGCCTTCATACATATTCATGAGGGGGTGGGGCTCTGGGGGAGGATGCGAGCTCTCATTGGCTGGCTCTTGCGTGCAAGAGAGCTGATTGGTTGAAAGCTTCTGTTGCAGAATTTCCTTGGAGGTGAGGAGCACCTCACTCATGTCCACTTCAAATAGGTCATGTTTCTGCTTCCAGATGTCATGAGAGAGAAAGGAAGAGAGAGAGAGACAGAGGGAGATAGAGAGAAAGGGAGAGGGTGAGATAGATAGCTCTCTTGTCTTTATTTAGTTGATTGCCACTGTTTTTCTTACCTTATCTATGTTACTTTTGTATTTTTGCTTTTTCTTCTAATTTAATTCTACGGGTTATAGTCTTCTCTTAATCAGAACACTGTGCGCTTAGAAACATCAGTATTAAGCGCCTAATAAATGTTATGTATTATTATTATTATTAGAAAGGGAGAGAGAGAGAGGGGGGAGATAGAGAGAAAGGGAGAATGAGAGAGAGGGAGATAGAGGGAGCGAGAAAGGGTGAGAGAAAGGGAGAGATAGAGAGAAAAAAGGAGAGAGAGAGATTGAGGGAGATAGAGGGAAATAGATAGAGAAAGAGAGGGGGAGATTGGTGAGGGGGAAGAATGACTAGATTTAGAAATAAGCACTAGGAACATCAAGTTCTCATGTTTTTTTAAAAATGATTATTATAAGTCCATTTAAGATGTCGTTAGACTAGTTTCAATAGTTCTAAACCTTGATTATGGCTGGCTTACAGCACACATTGTAATCTTTATATTGGGATTGTACAGTACATGCTGCAGGTAGTCATGCTAACAGCAAATGTCGCATCACATAGAGTATGATGTGCTCTATATAATACAGTACCAAAATGTGACACCATACTAGCCAAGTTGTCAAGGTTGCTGCTTCCAAACAATTTTATGTTGGAACAGCCAAAAAACACTAAATTTTCCCTGCTCCAGCCTGTTGCTTGAATGATTTTGCAGAGAACCTCATGCAAAGACCGTTGTTTGAAACCAGTAAACTGGCCGACAAGCGAAAATGACTGTCGCACTTAGGTTCTTTATATGAAGCTTGGAAGAGCAATACCTGCATAATGCATACAAATTCACCCGGTCTCAGAGAGGAGAGAATGTTACCTGTTTGCTGCGCTCAGCCAAGCACAGCTGCACCATGAGTAGTTGGCTGGAATGTGAGAGCACAGTCTTTCTCTCGTTGGCTGCCAGCCCATCACGTCTGTAGAGCTCTATGTAATGTTGTGCCAAGGTCCGCAGCTTGGGACATCCGGACGATCTAGACCGACCGCCTAGCAGGTGAACCTCAGTATTGTCTGCGAATCATATACAAACTTAAATACATCAGGGCCCTGCTTCATGAAACTAGTTTTCAATAGCAAGATTTGATCATTGTTATAAGCTACTGAAATCCTAACCTTTGATTGACTATGAGCAGATTTGTCATAGATCTGTGGCAGTTGTTATTGATATCAATTTTATGTTCATGGGGCCCTGGGGGACAGGGGGGGGTACTCTGAAAACTATGTCATCTTTTATGGTAGTAAGACAATGTACATGCAGGAGGCGGGTTGTGTGTCAGGACAAAAACAAATCTGTAAGGTTTGCTGTAGCCTGTTGGATTTCAGTAAAAATATACAATTACTCATGAGCATTTGTAGGAGTTTTAAGATTCCTGATAAAATGCATGCAAATTTGTTCAAATTACTGTTTGAAATCATCTGTTTGAATACCCAACTGAACCAGACAAAATGCAAACAAATCAAATATATTACCAGTATGTTATTATCCCTTGATTTAAAGAAACTCATCAAAGTTGATAAAGGAATGGAATTTTAAAAAGAACAAGAAAAAAAGGTACTTTGGTTTGTTTTTTTTTAGTGTTTATACACCAAAATGAAGTACATGTACACATGTATGTAATTTGGAAAGAGGGAAAGGAGAGGAAAGAGAGATTGGGAAAGTTAAAAGCAGATCACAGAGATTTGGAGAATGTATTTCTGAAAAAAATAATTGAATAACAACATGGATCATATTCTACTTTTCTGAAAACAATGTTATCTTTCATGTCAGGGAAAAAGATGTTGATCTTGCTGAAATTGCAAGGAACTAATACGGTACCTACTATTGGTGTTTGGCTGTGCAGATGTTTCTCTTAAAATTTACGCAAATGCATCCAGCTTTAATTGCTCAATGACTTGGCCTAGTTGTGATTTAAAATCCAATATCGTATTCAGAAAACAATCCTAGTTCTTTTCAGAAAATAGCATTGATTGAAAAATTAATAAATTGAAATACCTGACTGCTGAAGATCGACGCAGACAGCGTTGAGATGACGTAGGATTGTATCATGTGACAGGTTTCCATGGTTACCAATGATTAGTACATCATCAGGTGATGACAAAATGGCCGTTTGTAAGTCCATCCTGTCCTACAATGCAAATAGAAAGAAATGTAATGTTTTGTAATTCAAAAGGGCTTGACACCAACATTACATATATTTTTCACCACAAAATATTTTTTTACCTTCTCACTCAGCTATGATTTTCCTCCATTGAAAGTTAAAGGTTTTGTTTTCTAATTAAAAAGTAGTTCCAATCAGAGCTTGGTGCATGATACATTGAAGTTCGCCTAGCCTGGTGATCCTCATGAGCTCCTCGAGCCTCATGATGACATCATCAAGAAAATTGCTATGCCCATGTCTCTTTTGTGCATTTTCGCAAGGAATATTGAACATCAGAGGGCAGGAATACATCTCATTTTCAGCATATACTCATTCTTTGGGGCAAGGTTTCTCTTAAATTTGAGATTCAGACATGAAGCCATGACTACTAGGCTAGAACTTTACTTGAGAAGTTTAGTCTGACTTGGCCTCAGAGGAAGGGCTGGTTTATTATCGAACAAAATATTAGTTAACTAGGAAATGGTAAATAGACGTTGAATTAGATCTAAAGACGTAAAGTACGTAAATGCTCCAGCTATCTGGTGAAAAGGAGAAAATCAGTCTATTTGTTTATAGGGCAAGGATGCTGCACTTATTATGTACAAGCATATTTCATGTAAAAGGGTCTACTACTAGCAGGGGCAGATCCTGCGGCAAGGGGGGGGGGGGCAACTCGTGAGAAAATAATAAGCCCCCCTGGGGAGCTGAAGAGAAATGGAATTTTCAAACTCGATTAGATGTATACTTTTTGCCAGGATATCATTTTAAATCTGTGACTTTTTCGAGCATAAAATTATGATAAGCCTGTAAACGGTAGCCCTACTGGATTGGGTCAAGAGGCAGACCACAGATACAGACCACATATATGAATTATTTATTGGGGCTTTTTTTACTTTCTAATGGATCCTTACAACAATCAAGGCAGAGATTGTGGGCCTGTTAGAGTCCTTGCTGGGGGTTTAGGAGCAGAGCTCTCGAGTTTGGCAATTCAGATTATCTAGATAGACGTCGTGAGCGATAAAAACTCTAATCCATCCCTTGAAATTTAAATTGCAGTGCCCCTATTGTGTGCTCTTTTTAAAGAGTACAAAAGCCCTCAGATTAGGCATTCCATCTCATTCAGTAGTACATTAAGACCTTAATACTGGTAACAACATTCAATGGGATGATGCCCACATAATTGAGTTTGAAACGCACTACTGGTCAAGAATGGTAGAAGAAACCATCCTCATAAAAAGGATTAATCCTTCACTGAATAGGGATACCATAGTTACATATCTCGCTCCAGTGATCTTATGGCTCCAGTGAACTCGAAGCAGCAGACAGCAAGAAATTGTGTAAATAATAAAAGGGCCACAGGAGTGTATGTTAGAAGTTTTAACTATAAAAAACTCACACCCGCTCCAATTTTATGCAAAAAAAGTTGCATTGGGAACCACTTTTATCTTTACAGATAGGGTGCAGTGGGAGAGCCTTTGCCTGGAGTCTTCGGAGCCCTAGGAAGTTCTTGAATTTTAAAAAATTTAGGAAATTCAAAATATGGGCAAGATTACGAGTAGCGGCTAAATGCCCAAATTTCCTGAAACATCACAGAGTACAGAAGTACCAATTGCAATTCGCACTCCGAATTCTTTGATTTTTCTGCACTACTACATGTTCATGTCTACCGGTAATCACTTTTCTCAAGTCAATATTAATAATATACCGAGATACTGGCCAAAAGTAGAGGAAAAAGATATCTTTAAAAAATTACCTTTTCAACTCAAATTTATATTTCACACACACTACATAACTCAACAAAATTGATATTAACTTGAAGGTATTTTAATTATCCATCTTTTGACACCAGATCCATGGTAATTAGAGGTATTACTTTATACAGGTTATCTTTAAAATTTGATGTTAACACACCAAACACTTCCTCAATTCAATAACTTTGGGTTGCTATAACTTTTCACTGAAAAGAAATGTAAACTTCTCCTTCGCACAAGATATTTTCCTTGTAATACATGGGCGAAATCCTGGAAAGTTACAAAAAAAGGCACCTCTCCAATTATGATTTATGGAATTAACGTTTTTTAATAAAATTCAATATTTCGAAAAAAACTCACAAAAATCATGTTTTTTACTTATCGGTAAATTTGTTACATGTATGTTAACGCCCACCTTTCAAAAAAAAGAGAGATTGAAGCTCTTATTACCAATTATGTGAATGAATGGATATTTAGCACCCAGCCAAAACCCTTGAACCGCAATTTTACCACTACAGACAGGTCGACTGGTCGACTAAGTCTTGATCTATACCTTTAATGGTAATAAATGCATGTCGCTGGAGTTTCGGCAGGACCATCGCTCCCTTCCTGTTGACGTTGCTGTTGGTACCACTCACTCCAGCACTGCATAGAGAGTCAATGCTAATGCGTATTGACCTTTAGCAATGCTTTACATGTTAATAGGCAGCATTTAAATACATGAATAGTAAATACACTCACAACACATAAATGCACACAATCATGCCGATGCGGCTGATCGGCAAGTTTGACAGTAGACTCACAATTTGAATTTTTAAATTATTCTTTCTAAGATCGGAAAGTTGACAAAATTGTTTTTTCCTGCTATTTAGGTGTCATCAATTGTCACTAAAGTACCGATTTTGAGTAAAATTATTTGAGTTTTGTACAGTGGTGTTTGAAATGTTGAAAATCAATAGCACAGCTTTTAATACACAGCCAGGATAGTAATGGCAATGCACGTACCTATGTGCGACTACCACTCATACTCATTCATTCGTTCATTCTTTATTCTGTATTGCTCGCGAACGAACGGGCCAAACTAGCAAGAGTGAAAAATCGATTACCTGATCATACATTCAACTAATTTATCAAGAAATCATATCTCATAGTACTGCTGAGCCTTTAACATCTATAAAAACATGGCATTTACTTACCGAATATGCTGGAGGAAACGAATAAAGCGACAGTTTAGGAACGGACACAGCTCGTATTGTTTACAAGCGCCGTTTAAAGGTCCCTCGTCGAATTAGCCAATCAGCGATCCCGATCGTTGATAGTCTTTTTAGAAGACACGTAAAGATACATGTACGTATTCAAAGACTGCCCTAAAAGGTTAGTACAGATGGAAGTTGATAGGAATAGGAAAGTATCAGCTGCCTATTCTCCCTCTCGTAACAATTACTAATAAACTATTAATATTTTATTATAATGTATAAATTTGTGATCAATTTAGTGCAACTCGTCATTATTTCACCCACCAACTTCTCTCTCTATCTCTCTCTCTCTCTCTCTCTCTCTCTCAGTTGAGCCCTTCTCCTCCCGTCCCAACCCCTTCTCTCTCTCTCTCTCTCTCTCTCTCTCTCTCTCTCTCTCTCTCTCTCTATATACTAGATATCCACTCTCTTTTTCTTTATTTTCTCCCCTTCTCCCCTTCTCTCTCTCTCTCTCTCTCTCTCTCTCTCTCTCTCTCTCTCTCTCTTTATATATATACTAGATATCCACTCTCTTTTTCTTTATTTTCTCCCCCTTTTCTCTCTCTCCTATTTTCCCTTCTTCCTTAATTCTCTCTTTCCCCCTCTCCCCCAGCCATCACCCTCCAACTCTCTCTCTCTCTCTTTCTGTATCAGTCTGTCTCTCTGTAACTCTTTACATCAGAGTGTATTCTTTCCTCGTTTGTTTGTTTTTACTCATGTTTTTAAAGTGCCATGTTTGAACTTTCAATACTAAATGATTATAATTTTACATACTCACTACCGATTATCTACTAATACAATTTTTATTCCTCCATAATTATCTGTGCCAATTTTTATAACACAAACAAATTCAAATTTACAATTTATACAAACAATATCATAAAAATATTTGTATACATCATTCAAAAACATGCTTCAACATAAGCCCTCTTAAGGTGAACTCGTTTCTTTTTCCAATTATACCATAATGTACTGCTCATCCTTATAATATATCTTTATTATATATTTATTTTATGAAAAACAGGAAATTTCTTATTTAGTCAACAAATATGAAACGTATGGGCAGAGTACAGTTAACTGATTAAGAGCATTCCTTTTTGTGTGTACTATTTTCGCCAATGAAAGAAGACGAATATTTATGTACAGTACAGTACGGTTTGCTGTACTTGAAAAATGCCATATTATGATTACAGTAAGGCTTATTTCCTTCCTCATAATAGTTACGGTTTGTCAAAAAACACTCAAATTTACAACATATTTAATAACTATACTAAAATTCACGCACATGTATTTCATCTTTTCAAAAATATATTTGAGAGAAAATAGTTTGGAAAAACAGTTTTCAAGTCCAATTTATTCGTTAACAAAATATTTGTGATTCCATCGCACATTAAACAAAATAAAACCCTGAAAATGTACATATTTGAGTTTCATTCATTCCAATAATTTATTTCATGAGGTCACTTGTTGCGGATACATTTCTGAAAAATAAAAGGTTTTCCAAAACATTTTTATTTCTCTCATTATTTATTCATAAATGAAATCTATGATGCTTCCGCACATGCGCATCGTATCATTTGCTCAGATTAACTGTTCACAAAAAAAAGGCGTATTTTTATATATTATGTAATTATATAATATAGCTTTGCATTCAATTCGAAATCCGACGTCGCTCACTCGGCGGCCTCTTCCATCGGTGCCTACTGTTTAATGTTTGAATTTGAATTTATTAACAACAAAACAACAATATAACACAATCTTACAAAATGTATTCAAGTGGGTAACAAAATATCCATGTAGTACACGAGTTACAAAGAAAAAGAAAATATCCATAGTTGAACCTATTGTGTACAAATTAAATTAATCATATACCATGTCATATCAAACCTGTTAATTAGCTATAACTTAATAATGCGTAGAGATTTGTGGCTGGAATCGAAATTCACAGAGTTCCAATAGCGTATAAATGATTCAAATAAAGGATATTTTTAAACTTAAAAACTTAAAATGTTGTTAAAGGGAGAATCAAAAGTTAACACGAGTGCTAGTCGGGATTGGTTCTCCAAGTTTCTAAAACTGTACGCAAATTCATATTGATATTTATTTTGACTTAATATCGTATTATTTTATCCTCTTGATTCATCTCTGCCATGTGTCTGATCATCCTTGCTTTCAGCGTGGACTTCGTGTCAACATCGTTAACAGCATCCTCCAGAGTCTTAGTAGCCGCAGTATCCACTGCAGGCCGTGGTCGTTCACCGTTGCATTTCGGAGTCGTTTGTCGTGGTTCTTTCCCTTCTTCCCATTATGACAGAATGCACGTCGTCCATGACCACACCCATGGTGATCGTATGGAAAGAAGAGCCATGGAGGGGGAAGTTGACATCGGGTTTCATGAAGCAGGAAATCGTCTTCGTTGTCGCATCCAGACGTCGCAACGCCTTCATCCGATCTCTGAACTCGACGATGATGACAGCATAAGTCTTCTTTTCTGAGCTCTCTTCTGCGCCTTGTACCAATGCTTCATGGACCTCTTTAAAAACTCTTTGGCCATGTGACGGTTGTCATGGCAATCGGAGAAGCGGTGATGAGAGTGATGCATGGGAGGAAAGGGGGTCTGTTGAATCCACGGAGATAGGTTGCATTGGTGGAGGTATCGTAGAATAATGGGGAGCGGTGTGGCAATGGTGCTTGTGCTTGCCATGGTGATGCTTATGATGACCACGCCCATTTCTGCATCCATGTTTGTTATGGCTACATTGTATGCTGGGATGATGCCTTCTCTTTCTCCAACTCTGTAGCGTTAGATTTCGTGGTTTCTTGGTGAGCTTGGTCAGTGGCTTGCCCTTCCGCCTCAAGAACCTCGTCATCATGCGGCTGTCATCCTTGGACATCATCATCGGGTGCGTTCTCGCTTAATTCACTCGATCCACTACCATCTCGTTTACATCCTTCCTTCAGATGACATTCATCCATTTTCTCTGCCATTGACGTTACATCGTCGACCATGCATCTCCGAAAATTCCTTCCTTGTCGACCACGGCCTCGTCCACCATGTCCATGTTGTCTTCCCCGACCTCCAAAGCCAGAACGTCCCCCATGATCTCCACGTCCGCCTCCTCGACCTCCGAAGCCAAAGCGGTGCCCGTGATCCATCCCGTAAACACCCGACGGGTCCGACATCATCATCTCCCTCATTATCGCCCGACGTCGCCCTCGTCCTCTACCAGGCAAAAAATCAAACGGAGACCAATGACCACCACGGCAATCTTGCTCGCCGTCGAAATGATCATTAGCCGGGTTCCCCATGCCAGTGCCAGACTCGCGGCCAGGGTCGTGCATAATGAAGTATGTCACCTTCTTTGAAAGATATAGACACGAGGGCTGCTAATCAAATCCAGAGAAGTTGAGACTATTGATTGGATTAAAACGGTACAGTATTAACAAATTGATAAAATACAAAATTGAAGTTGAAACATCGAAGAACGTGATTTGTTAGTGAATAGTCTCGATCTGATGATCAGAATGCGAATCGGCACCCTGCTGTTCTTGTTGTTGGCGTTTAGATGGCGCTCAACGAACAACTAACAGCGTTGCGTAACAGAGTAGACGACCGCGAGCCTTTTGGGATCCATGAATCAGATGTTCGCAAGCGGTTCAAGCTCATTAACCATCGAAAGGCATCGGGGCCTGACGGTGTGAATGGACGAGTACTGTAGACATGCTCGTCCCAACTCGCCGTCCCATACGCTATGATATTCCAGACGTCGATCTCCGAAGGAGTAGTACCCGGCTAGGTAAAAAAAAAAAACAGTTGGGGACCAGTTGGAATCAACTGGTACTGGTACCAGTTGATTCCAGTTAAGTGAGCTGGTTTCAATATGAAAATTGGTATTGTGGAATCAACAGGTACCAGTTGATTCCAGAATATGGAAATTTGTATAGTGGAATCAACTGGTACTGGTACCAGTTGGAATACCAGTTGTCAACTGGTACCAGTTAAGACCAGTTGAAACCCCCAGCTGGGAACTGGTTTGGAAATTGGTCTAGTGGAATCAACTGGTATTGGTACCAGTCGAAATCAACTGGCAATGGTACCACTTAGAATACCAGTTGCCAGTTGATTATTCAGTAGCGAATATCAATCAACTGATAATCAATATTGTATGGCATCTGGCCACCAACTATTTTTTTTTATAGACTCTTGCAATTACCCCATCACAAATATCATTTGAAGTGAGTTGCAGTTGAGTCTAATGTTAATTAAAGCATATAGAGATCGTACATACATGTATACAAAATTATACATGTGTTTACTGGACGCATAGTTCCCGGAACGCCGAAGGCGGCGCTATTCATCGAACACTCTATCGGAACACTGTAAATGCTTTCATTAGAAAAGGACCTGTTGTGAATAAAGAGCTCCAGTTATGTATGATCACGTTTACCCTTTTTCGCTTTAAATACATGGACACAACACTGAACAGTTTTAATTGACTTCCTTGAAATTAAATGACTCGCAGGTAATTAGGAGAATTTATCTGTTTTTTGTCAAGTTGTCTGATTTGATGACGTCATTGGCGATTTATAAGCGATTTATAAGCCATTGGCTAGAAAAGTCATTGGCGATTTATAAGCGATTTATAAGCCATTGGCGTTGATCCATTGTACTTCTATTTTTTTCTAAAACCAGACTTTAATGATGTCATGATATCGTTTCGTTCCATGAACAAACAATACCAGTCTATTTTTAACCATTCTCTCCATAAGTTTAGAGAATGTGGGAGTCAACGAGATGGGTCGATATGACGAAGGATTAGTCGGATCTTTGCAGGTTTAAGTATAGGGATTTGAATGACATGATACCATTCTGCGGGGAAAATTGAGGAGTTCCAAATATCATTAAACAACAGTAATAATAATTTAGGTGCATTTTCTGTTGTACCAGGATAGCTTTAATGCCATCTGTACCAGCTGATGAATTTTTCGTTTCTTTTAATGCCACTGTTAACTCTGCTTGGCATGCATGAATTCCTCATTAAGGGGATTTTCTCAAAAGTAGCTCCAATCCTTAATTTTCTTTTTCGAATGTACATCTTCTGTCTAGTTCGTCTTTATCTATATTTAAAAGCCGCACCAATTACATCGGATTTTTTGTGTGTGTCTTGGATTGGTTCTTTGTCTTCAGTAAGTAAATTTTGTTAATTTGTGTATTTTGTTAAATTACTTCTCTCTATGCCCTTTTCTGTCCTTTTTTAATACTGTTGCATGATGCAACGTAGTACCATCGTTTCCGGTTTCGCCTTCCTTTTGACACGTTTCCGAAACGTCCCGTGCCGTACCAACTGGTTCTGTTCCACGGATAAACAAACGTAAGCACAACGTTCTGCAAGAAGAATGACGTCACTCGCTATGAAAAGATACAGGGAACAAGGTCGAGTTCAATCACATGATGTTGTTTGTATAAACTATATAGATAATGATTATACTGCCGCTTCCTAAACGTCCTTGACCGTACCCTGTTCAATTCCACAACTACTGACAGCATGATAGGGTAGGGGAGGGGGGGGGGGGGAGGGTAGTAACACATTTTAATTATCTGATGGGAACTAATTCATAACATGAGTGAGCTATTGCAAAGAATCATCTTAAAAGATTAGACTTTAATTGAATAAAAAACAAAGACTTGAAAATCAAAAAATTTAAAGAATAACAGAAGCATGAAAAGAGAGAAAGGAAAAGAGAACAAAAAATAACAGAGAAGGAGAAAGACAGTATATAGAGCTTATGTTCTTCCCTCATAATATAGGTGTATTCAAAACCTTAAAAATCGTATATAGTGTATGTATATTTTACCACTTCGATTAAAAATGTATAGCAACACTGTGAACCATGTAAGATTATAATAACTATCTAAACTCGTCTTTGTTTTAATTATAAAAATATGTCCATGTTGTGAAAGCGTAATACACCCCCCTCCCTTCGGATGCACATAATGTACATGTCTATGTAACAGGGTAAGATATAATAGGGGTTCTAGGACACCTACCCCCTGGACATTCACCCCCGGACACTATACCCCCTAGGAAAACTACCCCCGGACAACTATCCCCCGGAAAATTACCCCCAGACAACTACCCCCTACGACAACATCCTCTAGGACACCTACCCCCGTACAACTATCCTAGGGATAGTTGTCCGGGGTTAGATGTCTGGGGGTAGTTGTCCTAGGGGGTAGTTGACTGGGGTGGTTATCCGGGGTGGATGTCCAGGGGGTAGGTGTCCGTATACGATAATAGGTAATATTGGGCTCACGATAAATTCTATTTTAATAAGTACCGCAGATTTTTACGATTTTGGTAATTTTATTATATCAAAATTTGTTGATTTTTAATTCCGCCCTTCAAATGACATTCTTATTTCCTTTGTAGTTTGCGGTAGACTAAGTTGCTATTCTGTTTCGACTTATATCTTATTTTAATTACCATTCTATTCTATGGATTTTATTTCGTTAATTGTTTTCAATAATTGTATTCATAAAAATACGTGTACGTGTATCATCGATGACGTCATTGTGTGAACGAACTTTGCGCTACGTTTTTAATTCCTTTGGTAGAGACTGTGGAATAGAACATGTTGACATGGTAGGGTACGTTTTAGAAACGGTATACCACAAATAATCCATTCCACTGCACACGACCCTGCACTCCTGAATCTATCTTTATTCGATGACGTCATTCTTCTTGAGCAAGTGCACAGTCCGTTTCAACATTGTTGTCGTAGTATTAGACTTTGGACTGTACGGGGGGGGGGGGGGGTCGGGGGTCGCTTTACTGCTTTTGTTAGAGTGTGGTGACTCGTTCCTAACATTTTATTTTGATATATTTATGCTATTTTATACTTAAGTATACTACATCATTGTAATACAGTGAGTTACATCTTGAATCATCTAAAAGATACAAATAAAATTGAAGAAATTACTTACCATGTACTTAGCCTACCAATGAGGGTGTATATCATTATTTACATGTATATTAATATCATTATTATAAGTATCAGCATCATCACATCAGACAGTTTATCTGATAATTGCAACCTTCACAATTCTGTCAAAAATGATATAAACTGCGCGTTCTGATATAACATAATGTCAATGTTATGTCTTATATAAATCAAACTCTCTTTCTCTCTCTCTCTCTCTCTCTCTCTCCTCCTCCTCCTCCTCCTCTCTTCTCTCCCTTTCGTTCACTCGCCCTCTATATATCTCTTTCTTTCTCTGTCTCTCTATCTCAAATTATTCTCTCTCTTTCACCCCCCCCCCCCCGAAAAAAAACCCTCTCTCTCTCTCTTTCCCTCTTTTTCTTCTTCATTAAACCGATATTAGATATTGTTTTGTTTTTCTCTTATCACATTTCGAAATTTTTCTTCCTGTTCTCCCATCCCCTCTCTCCCATTTATTGTCCACAACTAGATTTTCACATTATAAACTGCAGTAATGAATGACACGTACCATACCCCACCCCCTCCTAAAAATTGTGGAATGGAACATGCTGGTACGGTTTGGTACGTTTAGGAAACGGCAGGTCAACCATTATCTATACAAACAACATCATGTGATTGCACTCGACTTTGTTCTTTTATAGCGATGACGTCATCCTTCCTGCAAAACGTTGTGCTTACGTTTGTGTATCCGTGTGTGGAACAAAACGCACTGGTACGGCACCGTACGTTTCGGAAACGTGTCAACAATGATAATAAAAAACGATAGCGAAACTGCAAACGTTGCAACTACGTTGCATCAGTACAGGAAGGTATAAATAGGGACAGGAACGAGCAGTTTACTCATTCGCTTCCTGGTCATCAGATCGATACTACACAGCTCATGCTCACCTAGCTGGCTGATCGTCATTTTGTTCTTTTTGCAGAGAATTTCTGTGTTGATACAGTCTTAAACCAGAACTGATATTCTCTACTTCTTTGGCTTCGATCAGCTATCGATCAATTTATAGTCCCAGTGTCTATCTAACAAAGGAGGTGACACATATCATTATGCACGACCGTGGTGAGGCGGGCACTAGCACGGAGAAACCAGGAAATGATTATGATTCCTATTTCGACGCAGAGCAACATTGTGGAGGAGATCATTTCAGTCATGGAGCCCCGTGTGATTGGATGCCTGGTGGAGGCCGTGGGCGACGTCGGGCGATGATGATGGCGATGATGTCGGATCCGTCGGGTGTTTACGGGATGGATCACGGGCACGGCTTTGGCTTCGGAGGTAGAGGAGGCGGGCGTGGACGTCATGGAGGTTGGTTTGGCTTCGGAGGTAGAGGACAACGACATGGACATGGTGGACGAGGCCGTGGTCGAAATGGAAGGGGATCTGGTAGATTCTTTGTCGACGATGATGATGAGTATGTGACGTCAATGGCGGAGCAAATGAATGAATGTCATCTGAAGGAAGGACGTAAACGAGATGGTAGTGGATCAGGTGAATCATCGTCGAGCAGCAGTAGTAGCGAGAGCGATGACGAGCAGAACGCACCCGATGTCGATGTCCAAGGACGCCAGCCGCATGATGGCGATGTTCATGAGACGGAAGGGCAAGCCACTGACCAAGCTCAACAAGAAACCACGAAATCTAACGCTACAGAGATGCAGAAAGAGAAGGCATCATCCCAGCATACATGTAACCATGGTAAACATGGATGCAGAAATGGGCGTGGTTATCATAAGCATCACCATGGCAAGCACAAGCACCATTGCCACACCGCTCCCCATCATTCTATGATACCTCCACAAATGCCACCCCATCTCCGTGGATTCAACAGACCACCGTTTCCTCCCATGCATCACTCTCATCACCGCTTCTCCGATTGCCATGGCAACCGTCACATGGCCAAAAAGTTTTTCAAGAAGTCCATGAAGCAGTGGGCCAAGGCACAGAAGAAAGCTTGGAAACAACAACAAGGGAGTCACTGCTGCCATCATCATCGACGTCAGAGATCAGATGAAGACGAGCAAACGACGTCTGGATGCGACAACGATGACGACTTCGAGCTTCCTGAAGGCCAATGTCAACTTCCCCCTCCATGGCTCTTCTTTCAATACGATCACCATGGGTGTGGTCATGGACGACGTGGATTCGGTCGTCACGAGAAGAAGGGAAAGAAACACGACAAACGCCTTCGAAAGTGCAACGGTGAACGACCACGGCCTGCAGAGGATACCGCGGCTACCAAGACCCAGGTGGATGATGTCAACAATGTTGAGAAGGTACACGAAGTCCATGATGAATGCGAGGATGATCAGGCACCGATGGAAGAGGCCGCTGAGTGAGCGATGTTTGGATTACGACGTGAATTTGTACAACTATATCTTTCTCTTGTAGTGTTGTTTAATAAATCATTTTTGTAAATATTGTTTATGACAAAATGATACGTCTCACTGATATTTCCAAAAGCTCGCTCAATTGCACACTAAATCCATCTCTTGATTGAAATATAATGTCACTTATTTAGTAATTTACTATAATTGATATAATTTTTTGTTTTCTTTTGCTTTGTATAAATCACATATCTGTTTTTATTTTAGTTTCATTTAACAGCTGTTACTATCATTGCCATGTATTTCTTATGCTTAATATGTTATGTTGTATTATTTTGTTCATATAGCAGGGCCTTTTGAAAAGCACCCCTCTGTGGTACTGCGTGGGACTACCCTGCTTTTTAGAGAAAGCATGATAAATAATTTTTTTACTGGCCACAGATGGAGGTAGTAATTTTCTGTCGAATTCTATCCAATGATACGGATTGCGACTGAAACTAACGAAATCCTAAAATACAGAGTTTCTTTAAGTAATTAAAATACCAGTCAATGGGCTTGTTTACCATTCAATGTAAATATTTACTCTAATTTGAAGGAAAAATGCATTTCATATCTATTTGTCTCAAATAGAACATTGTAAAATATTTACGTATATATATATATATAGTTTTTAGATAAATTCACAATTTCTGTCTGTTATCAATTGTATATGTGTGGTAGATATTGTTCAACACATGTATTTACTTTAGTGTATTTGCCTTAAAAGCTCATTTTGATATGAAAAATAGCATTTACAATCTATTTAGGATCTGTAAATGGGAATATTACTCGGCCCAGCTGATTTATGTATAAACTATAAAAGATTTTCATACGAAGCAATTAGCAATGTATATAACTAAATGTATTGTTACCACAATTAATGTAACCATTTCAATATGCTTTCAATGTTGTCAATATTAGTATTTTTAACCAGCCAACAAGACTGTAGTAATTAGGAATAACGTTTGAAAGTGAATTTCTTGTAATCGTGTAAGGAAAATATCATTACATGCTCCAGCAATTTATATGATATAATTATGTATAAATTATAACAGATATTCAAGGAATATGGCTCATTATGTTTTTTTTATATTTTTTTTACCAAAGTTTATGTAACCATTTCAATATGCTTATTTACACTTGTCGATGTGAATATTATTCAACCAGCAAAAAATATTGTAATAAAAAAGAAATAACGTCGAAGTATATGACCCTCTAGTGTTCGTATACGCATACGGAAAATATCATATCGTATCATAATACTGAGGTTAAAACAAATTTTGAATTTGCATGCCTGACGCTGTACATAATTATTATGTAGGCCGCGAAGAACCCTTTGGCATATTTAGGATTCAGCTCATTATATGATTGTAATGCGAGATTTAATTAATTGGTGTACTTTAAGAACAAGATTACGCCATATATCTATTTGTTAATGTATGTTTGAAATGTAACCATGTACAGTACTAATAAAATGTAAACAAATATTTGAGACTGTTATCGTGTTGCATAATTTATGTGCGGGGATGAGTGTTAATTTCTCTAAAGACGATTAGAATAATGAATGGTGCTGTGTATTATGAAGAACCGAAATGAATGGAGGAGTGTGTGTGAGAGAGAGAAAAAGTGAGGGAGAGGGGGAGAGAGAGGGAGAGACAGAGGGAGAGAGAGGGGGGGAGAGAAAGGGGGGAGTGGGTGAGAAAGATTACATATAGAGATAGATAGGGGAGTGTGTGAGTGTGTGAGAGAGAGAGAGAGAGAGAGAGAGAGAGAGAAGGGAGAGGGGTGAGAGAGAGAGAAAGAGAGAGAGAGAGGGGGAGTGGGTGAGAAAGATTAGAGATAGATAGGGGGAGTGTGTGAGTGTGTGAGAGAGAGAGAGAGAGAAAGAGAGAGAAGGGAGAGGGGTGAGAGAGAGAGAAAGAGAGAGAAGGGAGAGGGTGAGAGAGGGAGAGAGAGAGAGAGAGAGAGAGAGAAGGGACAGAGTTGGAAAGAGGGACACAAAGACGAGAGTGATAAATGTGACGGGATTACAGAAACACATTATAGTCGATATAGATAGGGCGAGAGATGTGTACAAGAGGGAGGAAGAAAGAAGGAGGGGGGGGGGGAGAAAGAGGGAGGGGGGGGGGGAGAAAGAGGGAGGGGGGGGAGAGAGATGGGATATTATATAGGGAGAGAGAAGGGGGTAAGAGAAATCAATACAGTGATAAAAACGAGTGAAATTAACAAAAATGAAACCAAAGGGTATGGTAGTCAGGAATAGCCATCGGAATGGAAAGTGGGGGCAATGCAGAGTGCACTGTAAAAAAGAATTTGTTCATTGGTAATTTTTACGTATTTTTTCCATGTAGTATTTACTTGAAAATATTAGTTTTGCCACTTACGCACTAAATTTAAGGCTTGCTAACTCAAACTTTCAATTTAGTAGAACATACGTGGAATATTTTAGTAAAATCAAATACATAAGAACTTTAAGTAATTTCAGCTTGTATTAATTTAGTAATTTTAACTCAAAATCAGAAATTATACGTATTACTCAAACAATTTATGTTGATTATTCTTATCTTTTTAAAGTAAGGACCGATGCAGTGCGTAATAGAAATATTTACATAATTTATGAATATTCACTAAGACCAAATTAAACTCTTTTTTAAATAAAACAATTCTTTTTTGTGGTTGAATGAAAATTTAAGGACTTTAAAACATTTACTAATTCATTTTTTTTTTTTTTTTTTTTTTTTTTTTTTTTTTTTAACATGGCTAAGCAAAGACAAGGCAATTTTTAATTGTTACCCAGTTCAAAACAAATCAAAACTTGATATTTCAGGAAATTGTCAACCAATTTTCCTTTTAAGATGCTACGATCAAGTATACATAAAATTTGTAGCCTTTCAATATGTGTCGAATCGAAGTGTATGTAATAGTTTGTGAGGGGGGTAGATATATATATTTATACGGTTAAATCTTAAATAGAAGTAGTGTTAGTGATTAGTGATTAATCTTAAATAGAAGTAGTGAATGATTAGTGGATGTTACTTGTTAGATTAGATGGGTACCAAATTGTGCAATATGTAAATCTATCATAGCTTTTTTTAATTATCTAAAATGATTACAATACTTAAATTATTTACGTTAATGTAACTCGATTTAACTGAGTAAAAATTTATTCAGCAAAATAAGTAAATTCTACTTAAAATGCCGAAGGTAATATTTACTTAATAAAAATAAGGCAATTTTTTTTCCTCAATTTTATTGAGTTATTTCGACTATTATTTTTTTACAGTGTGGTATAGGTTAAGAAGGAGAGGAAGAACAGAGGGAAGAGTGGCAGTAAAAGAAATGGAGTATGTAGTAAAAAGAAAGAGAGGGAAGGATACAGAGAGAGAGAGTGAGCGAGAGAGAGCGAGAGAGAGAGAGAGAGAGAAAGAGACAGACAGACAAAAGGGTTAGAAGGGAACATTAATATGAGAAATAATCTGATGGGAACTAATTAATAACATGATTGAGCTATTGCAAAAATCATCCTAAAAGATTAAAGTATTGAATACAAAACAAAGATTTAAAATGATTTATAAAAAATATAAAAAAACAGAAGCATGAAAAGAAAAAAAGGAAATAAAACAAAAATTTAGAGAGTAGGAGAAAGACAGAATAGGCTTGCGTTCCTCCCTTATAGGTGTATCCAAAATCTTGAAATCGTATAGTGGAATACTTATTTATTTTATTTTATCCCTCCGATTTAAATGTATATACCAACACTGTAATTTAAAATTGATGTGGGTCATGTAGGATTATAATAACTATCTCAACTATCTCAACTTAATTTTCTTTTTTTAATTATAAAATGTATCGATATTGTGAAAGCGTAGTACACCCCCCCCCCCCCACCCCCTCCTTTAGTGATGCACATAATGCACATGTCTATGAAACAAGGTTGGATAGAATAGGCAAAAATATGCTCAAAATACTTTTTTTTTTTTTTCAATAAGTACATTCAACAGTTGGGCAGGAGGCATATATTTTGTCGACCGCCTATTTTCATGATTTTGGCAATTTTATAGAAAAACTTGTTGATTATTCATTCCGCCCAACTGATGACATTCTTATTCCTTTTCTATTTTGAGGTAGAATAGATTTCCGTTCTCTTTCGACTTATACTTTATTTTTACATCTTTATCCCCTTGTGCATTTGATAATCTAAAACTATAGATTTTTATTTCGTTTAAATGTATTATTTCTTTAACTTGATTTAAATATAAACGTGTACGTGTATTATCAATGATGTAATCATATTGTGAACGTTTTTGCTACCTTTTTAAATCCTTTGGTGGAGACTGTGGAATGGAACATGTTGAGACGGAAGGATACGTTTTGGAAACGGTATACCACCAGTAATCAATTTTACTGCACACGACCCTAAACTCCCGAATCTATCTTTATTCGATGACGTCATTCTCCTTGAGAAAGTGCACAGTCCGTTTCAACATTGTATTGTTGTAGTATTAGACTTTGGACTGTAAGGGGAAGGTCGGGGGGGGGGGGGCACTCTACTGCTTTTGTTAGAGTCTGGTGACTCGTTCCTAACATTTAATTTGGATATGCTATTTGATGTAAAGTTGGTGTTTCATCACCTTTGCGTGTTCATTCTTCAAACTGTATATTAGTTGCAACTTGTCTTTGATAAAATATTGTTATATTCTTTTTCACCTGAAGTCAATTCAAATGGATTGTAAAATTGAAAATAATTTGTTATATTATATTCATTTTTCATGTGATGTTAACTTCAATGAATTGTGAAATTGTGAACATGCATGAATAAATAAATAAACAAATAAATACTATTACTGTTACAAAATGGATAATCATGAATTTGATCAAATGAAGATGTATTGTATATTATTATCATTATTATAATAATCATCATCATCATCACCATCAGACAGTGAATCTGATAATTGCAACCTTTACACTAT